AAGGAGATTAAAACACAGTTTATGAACAACTTCAGGGTTACATCAGCTCTGGCTAAAAGGTGTTTTAGCCTCCTCTCCACGTTTTGGAGGCTGCTAGCTGCGCAGCTCTCGTGTGCGGGCACCTCTGGGCAGGCAGTGGCAGCTGAGAAGCTCTAGGTGCTGTATAGAGACACAGATGACATTTGAGAACCCTCCAACCCCTGGAAGTGATACACAAAAGCTGTACGACTGTAGGAAAGCTTGCTCCTTCTACCTGGGGAACCGCTGGCAGGTGCCTGGGTGTAATTTTGCAGCCAAGCGCGTGTGGCCAGTGAGCAAGCTGGAGGCGAGACTTCCCACGGTCCCACCCCCACCAGCCTCTGCCCTTCCTCCGCGGCTCCTGCTCCTTCCTCGGAGCTGTGCTTGACGCCACGCACAGCGGGGCTCCCGGATGCGTGGATACCCCTCAGGGAGTGTTTGGGCCCCCGTCCTTCCCGGCGCCCGGTGCCTTTCCCTGACCCCCGCACCAGACCATGCAGTGCTTCCGGAGGCAGCCGAAGCGCAGCATATCCCAGGAAAACGTCCTGCGGGAGCAGAGCCGCAGAGTGGCTGCGCTGAACGGCATCCGGCTGGGTAAGGGGCAAGGCGGCCAGGTCCTCGGCACTCCCACGCGCTGGCCGCCGCTTCGTTTCTGCCGCTTTTCTCTGCAGAGAGGCACTGCTCCACCCTAAAGGCAGCTCCAAGGTTATTTTTAAACTCCTGAGGTTTCTTTTCCTTTCCTTTGCCACCCTCCAGATGTGCAAACTACTGTGGCTGAGGCATCAAAGAAGGTGGGACCTTTATGGCAAAGGGTCGTTTTCCTAATCTCCTGGTGGGCTTTCTGAGAGGCTGCTGATGGCAGGGTGTTTGGATACGGGAGTGCCTTTTTCCTGCCCGATTTTCGGACTTCTCGGTGGTATGTTGCCAGTTGCTATTAGAGCCTGAGGAACCACTCAGAGGTCTGCAGTCAGTGGCTGAAAAGAAACAGGAAACCCAGGGAGTTTCGTAACTTCTGCGCCTGGCTCTGAACTGGATCCTGCTCGCCTGAGCAATGGCCCAAGTGGGCAGGTGGAAACGGAAAAAACTCCCTTTGCTCACGACAGTTCTTTGGATTTTATCCGGAAGACTCGCTGCCTTTAAAACGGGCAAGCCTGAGTTACGGCTGGTCTTAAATGCTTGGTGGAAGAGTGGGAGCAGGCAGGAAGAGGCTTGTTTTATAGCAGCTGTAAATCGATGCTTTTATACCAGACCTGCAGATCTGTGAATGAGCAATGCAGAAACACAGATTATCGCTGTCTCCTATAAACATGGTCCGAGTACCTCCCTAGTGAACTCAGAGCCTGCCTGCTACTGTGACGGCTAGTATTTTATTCTGTTTCCTGCTTGCTATAAACCTGGGATGGAAAGACTAAAATTTTTGGAGGCTTCGTGTCTAAAGCTTCTTTGCGCAGGATATTAGTTTCGCGCTCTCTGCTGTGCTGCGGGCTTAAGGTTCTCTGATCTTTGTCAAAGGCAATCTTCACTCTGAACTTTACGGTACACTAAATAGATTATGTTTAGAAAGTGTGTGACTGATACTTGGGAGGGGGTGACCTTTGAAACATGCATTGCAGTTTTGGGTGCAAATATGCATTTTATATTCTGCAGAGGGTGCTAAGCAAGATGCAGCCCTGCCGCATGTTTCAGGCAGGATTTGATCATCTAGTTCAGGGTTGTGATTGCTCTTCCTGTGCCCAGACTTGTCTTATAATTGGAAACCAAAATCCTTGTCCCACTACACAGTGTTTTTGGATCTTTAAATGTATATGACAACTCTGGTTTCTTTGAAACGTGAAACATGGCTCAGCAGAGCAAACCTCATCCGCTCCTTGGGGTGTTATGCAGAAGTCCTCCAAGAACAGTTCAGGGGTAAAACCTGAACTGAGGGTTCTACTGGGAAATGATGTTTTTTGGGGAAAGCAATTCAAATGTCCCATCGACACCTCCGGGGTGTTTGCAATTCCCTTATTACCAGATCAGAGCACCTCCTACTCTGACCATCTCCGACCTAGTGAAGCGCTATTATCTGCCTCTTAGACTGGAAGAGAGAGGCAAAGTGATTTGCCCAAGGTCATTTAAAAAGTCTGTGGCTATTCTTGGACGTTGGCATGTGAGGCTGGGCCCAAAACAGTAGCCATCTTCCTAGGATGGTTTAGTTCTTGGGCAGTGACGAGTATGAAGCTCCCAGGAAGATGCTCCTAGCTGGTCAGGTAGGCTCCCGCGTGTATTATTGTCACTTAATTCTTCTGGGAACTCACGGAGAGCCCTGAGGCTGGCACTGGAGGGCAAGTACCTGGTTCAGGAAGAGTCTGGTGCCTTCCTACCGGCCTGGCCCATAGGCATGTCACCCAACGATGGGTGAGAGAGCCGCTCCCAACCCTTGGTTGGATCTTCTGAAGAAGAAGGGGAGCTTTGATCCATGCTAATGCACTGACTAAGCTGTACTGGCTAATAGGATGAGGGGCTCTTAGCTTCTGCTGATGTCTTTCCTGTGTGGCTCTGGCCTGGGCAAGAGGAACCTGCCCTTGACCACTGCCTGTGGCCATCCAGCTTTGCCTGTATTTCCGGATCTTCTCAGAGAGAAAAAAAGGCCTTTATGTCCATGATAAGTCTACTGGATTGTGCCTTTACACTGCAAGTCCCTACGGCAAAGGCCCTCTGTGTTTCAGTGGCATCAAACGTTGACAGCATAACCCGTCGCTGATGCAACTCTTCAGTATGTTCAGTGTGGCACATCACACACGTCTCGTGGAGCATCTGCGTAACAAACCATTTCACGGTTAATGGGGATTTCTCATTACACACTTAGTACGTAGGCACCCAGTGGAATTGATGGCTTTCCTACTCTCTTGTGCACATCATCCTAGGATGGCGCATCCTCCTCCTAGTCCCATAATGGTGCCTTGCATGGCTGGGATCTGAGGACAGGAGGCGAAAGAAGCCAGGAGCCAGAATAGAAATTTTGTGGGTGAATACAGACAAGGAAGAAATTTATCCCATGACTGGGGTGAATCTTTTACGCTTCTGTGCTTGCAAGATGTCAGATTTTTCTTTCTCTCTGTGACTTTCTTTCTGAAGTTTCCAGAAGTGTTCACATCTCCCTTTCACATTTCCTCCAGGCCAGACACTGGAGCTGAGAGGCCCAGGGGATACTGTAGCTCAGGCAGGTGTTTAATTAATGAGATAGCTAATTGAATATAGAGGAAAGAGGGAGGCCACAACCACCTTTTCAGGATCTCCAGCTCCTAGTGTGCTGCTTTTCAACTCTTGATCCCTCAGCGAGACTCAGCTCCAGGCCTGCTCCGTGGCATCTTCAAAAACAAGAAAGTGGCCTGAGCTGTGCGGTGGGTGGGCCCTAGAGACCCCTAATAGCAATGTCTGACAGAGATCTCAGGCTTTTTTAGCAGTCTAAAATTCTCTCTTAAGCCAGGCTGTCCCAGCTACAAACACTTTGCACTGCTCTTTGTTGCTGCAGCCATGACTCACCTTGGTACTCTGCAGCCCACCAGCTACCCCACCTCTGGGATCCATCTCAGTGGTGGTTGTCTGGGGTTAGGGGCAACTCATGGATCTCATGCTGAGTCTTGTTTTTTAAGCAGGCCTGAAGTGATGCTTTGATGGTTTATTACTTTGCCCTGCTTAGATAGCAGCAACTCAAGGCAGCTGTGTCTTCCAAAGAGGAACAAAGCCAATGGCACAGGGGAATGTTGCACTGTGATATAAGTATTGTTACATAAATCGCTAAGTTGGCTAACTTGGATTTCTGTTTTGTGTGACCCTATATTATGTTTATATAGTATGGGGAAATATCCCAGGAAGTGAGTGGCAGGTGGCTGCAAGCAGCTGAGTGTTTATTAATGATAGTCATCTGCATCAGGATAAGGTTAGCAAAAATCCCACTGAATCAGGACACGTTTGGCAAGTGCTACAGAGTTAAATGGTGTTGCACTAGCTCTCAAACAGTCAGAGAGGTAAGGTGCCTATTACTGAAAACTCAGGACGTGTTTCTCGTGTTCCATGCTCTTGCCCTCCCCAGCCCACACACTCCAGATCTCTGAAGTAATGGTTGGTCTGAGGGACAGATTCTCCAAGGTAGTTAAGTATGTAGAAGTCATATACTGCTGAGATATTCAGAACTGTAGGAGGCTAATTCTCTGTTTTGAAAGTCTTGGTAGATGGCTGATGCCTGCTTAGGTGTCTAAGTGCCTTCCTGAATCTAGCCTAAAATGAGAAATCTCTAGAGTTCCTGGGACCAGATAGTCTGTTTTTTATTACTTTGCATTGTGGTGTCTGGTAGGGTAAAACAATATAAAGGACCGCTTGGATGCTAGCTGGACAAAGAAGAGAAGACTGTTGCTACTTTGTAGATGTGATGCCACCTATACAAGACACCGCCCTTGTCTATATATGTTGTAATTCTCATAACAGTGATCTTTGAAATCTCCTGGGTGGAGTGGAGAGGATTGTTTCCTAGAGAAGGAAGAAAGAGATCTATATGTATTCCTGTGTGACTGCCAAAGGAAATCCGTAGCAGAATAAAACTGGTATCTCTTGAAATTTCCTGACAGCACTTTAACTACAAATTTCACAGCCTTCCTTTGTCTACTTTTATTGTTATTATGTTGTTGTTTGTGTTCTGTCCTAAGGTTACACTGTGTTTACTGAGAAGAAGATATTTTATGTTTGTAGGCCAGCTGGGAATTCTAACATGAAAATCTTTTTGTTACCTTCATCTAAGAATACACAAGGGGTCCGTCTCATTGTGAGCATAAAATGTTGCGTAGCAGATTTCTGGATCTCTCTGTTCTGCTGTCCTCCCCAGAGCTGGCTGCACTGCAGTGGTCTGTCTGTGTATTTGACTGTAATGTCCTGTTGAAGGAAAGACCCTGTGTACATTATTTCATGTGTTGACTCCTCTAACCTTATCAATGTTTCCTCCACAGGCCTGAAAGATGACAAGGATCTGAAGTTCCTTTTGAAAGGCAGCCAGCTGGTCAAAGTGAAGTCAGGTTCTTGGAAAAAGCAGCGGTTTTATAAGCTCCAGGAGGACTGCAAAACCATATGGCAGGAATCAAAGAAGATGCTGAGGTCTCCGGAGTCGCAGACCTGTGAGTATCATTCCCTTCACCACAGGCTTTGGGCAGTGTCTGCAGAGGAGGTTGGGGTGGGCCAGGGCCTTTACCCTTGCAATGGGGAGGCAGAGGTTGGAGCAGTGGGGCCAGATCCTTCATACCTTGGGTACCACACAAGCTGAGAGATGCTGTCAGCTCTGAGACAGCTGGGAGCAATCTGCTGAGTCAGGAACGGCCACATTTCCCAAGCTCATGAGCTACCACCACTCAAAGGTGTCATAGGGTGGAAGAATATGAAGCACAAGGGCTGCATGGTGTGGCATGGCACGGCGTGGCATGGCACGTGGAGGGAAAAGCACGCCAATGGTAGCTGGGACTCCACCGTTGTGGGAACATCACACTGGGGCAGTGGGTGATGCTGGGCTCTGTCATTTCCTCCTCAGTGCAAGAGTTCAGGTTATTCAGGTGTCCCTGTGATGGTGCAGTCATCAAGCTAGTTGTGAGACTTGGCTCGAGCATTTGCAGCGTTGTATGGTGAATTCCGGCTGTTTGTCTGGGCTCTGCCCGGACACCTCTTACCTGTCTTGCAGCCCCTAGGAAAGAAGGGCAAGGTATAGGCTGGTACTGAAGCCTCACAAGGAAACCGCACAGATGTAGAGATCCAAGGGCTTGCAGCCTTTGCTTTGGAAAGCAAAGACTGTTCTCATCCTTATCTTGGAAACTTAAAACCTATCCCACTGTTGTCCATGGCAAAAAGTCGATACAACAATCATTATGCATGATTGTTGTACATTATATGAACACAAGTTAAAACCATTCAGTGTCAGCATCACCCAGCTTGGGACTATTATTACCCAGGGGCTTCTGGTCCCTGTTGTAGAGTCAAAATGGGAAAGTGTCAAACAGCAACAGTGGCAGAGGGAAAGAAGAATGTTCCTTACAACAGTGGGATCAGGCAAGTTGTGTATCTGTTTGTGTCTATTTGTTCTCCTCATTTAGTATTTTTCTGCCATATTTCTGTCGCTGATCATCATGGGCTTGTAAAGCCAGGAGGTAAATGAATAGTGGTGGATATGTTCTATAGCATGCTGAAATGTGAGACCACCCTGTCCTAGTTATTTACACTTTTTTTTTTTTTTGCAACAATTATATTTTCCTAAATATGAAGTGGGTCTTCCAAATTACCCCCAGTCTTACGGTCAGTATTGCTGAGGTGTATGAGATCTTCAGCAGGAGTAAGGTAGTGGGGCAAAATATGTTTGGTTTATAGCCTTGACTTTACCACACTTTTCTCCTGTGACCTTGGGCAGCTCACTTAATCTCTTTGCGCACCTTTCTCCAAACTTAACATCATTGCCTTTCTCCTCTGCTACCTAGCTATATGGTAAAAGCCTTTGGATGAGAGGCTATTCCTTTTTACATGTCCAGCACAGCAGGGCCCTGAGGTCAGCTGGGCCGTTTAGGTACTAACGTGACAACTCATAATAACAGCAACAAATGCAAAGACCTTAGTGAACGTTTGCTCCCTGTGAACACCTGCTCTGTTGAGCTCTGTCCTGTTTGCAACCGAAGTCCTTGCCCAGATAATGTCTTGTTACAAAACAAACAAGGGCGTGAGTTGAGAGGGAAGGACTTTCTGAGCTTTCTTTCCCATGGCAGCAATTTGCAAATTATGGGAGCTGAGCCCTTCTCCAGAAACAACTTTGACCCCCCCCCCCAAACCCCATGAAAACAACCACCACGCTGTGACGTGGCGGCAGGGACCTTGAGGCTTGCTTGAAGAAGCGCTATTCGAACCCATTGCTTCCCTCTCCAGGGCAGTGGCACAGAGAATTACACCAGCCATAATTTATTACAGACTCAATTACAACAAGAGCCCTGCAGTGAGATCAAATCTGGGTATTGCGCACAAGCTGGGTATGTGTGTACGTAGGACGTTACTGCACAGTCAGCAAGGGTGTGGATTTACAGCACTAAAGATACCCGAGATACTTTGTTAGCTGGTGGCAACTAATGTGGGTTGTTGGAGATGAAGTCAGTGACACTACAGGAAGGAGAACTTGCTGTGCCCTGGGAGTGTCCTCAGTGCAGAATAAAGGTGGAGTAATGTTGCTTACCTGCTCACCCCCATACACTGCTCTGTAACACCCCCAAGGGAACAGATCCTTCCCAAAAGAAAGTCTCTCACTTTTATCGCCAGGATAGCAGGAAAACAGAGCAGGCAGCCAAGGCTGAGCTGGTCTCTGCCACCTTGAAGAAGCAACTTCTGGCAAGGCCCTAGCTCTGTTGATTTTCTTGGACTTGCTGACTTTCTCTGCTTGACTTTCTTTCACTGGACCACCTTGGGGCTGCTTTTAGCAGGTGTTGTGGACATGCCTCAGCCTGGAAGTCAACGGCAGAGACGAGTACTGGACCAACGCCTGCCCAGTACCCAGGCCATCCGTTTCCCCACAGCTGTCTGCTCTATTTGTTCTCTGAGTCCTTCCATCCCCAAGTTTTCAGAACGACTGCTGCTGGTGAATTTGATTCTTGGGCTTTCAAGTGCACCAGGCATTGGCTGCTCTGGGTTTCAGGATGGAGAGGATGTTGTGTCCCTTGGTAGGCTCTATCACTATGGCTGTCTTTTTGTTTGGTCCTGTGTGTGCAGACAGTTGAAAGGCAAAGGAAGAGTGCAGGGTTGTGATTTGATATGCGGGATCAGGGACTTCACGGTGAGTCTCTCCAGAAGGTCACACTTCCTTGTTAACAGAGCGTAACTTTGCCTTCCAGTGTAAAACCTTTCTAAAAATGCAGATAAACTGCCTTTTTTAGGAAGGAAAAAGAATGAGGAGAATGGAAACTGGGAGGTCTGGGCAGCAAGTCTAATCTTATCTGCAGCAGTGCTGGGAGCAGGCAGATGAAGGCAGCTCAGAGGAGTGAACTCTGGATAGGGCAAGGGTTATATTTTTATTTGGACAGTTTCCTGTTATTCCTGTTACTGCATACAATCGTACAGAAATGCTGTTTGTAAACCACTGTGTGGTGGTGTCTGTAGAAGATAAAACTGAGGATTTCCAAGGCTAGGCAGAAGAATCTCAGCAGCTTGAACTCAAACAAACAAACAAACAAACAAAAATATCAGGGTTGTCTCAGGCACAGATGTTACTTGGATCAGACACAAAGGGATCCAATCCCTTACCTTGCTGTGCTTTTATTTGGAACAACTGGAGGTTTAGATTGGCAGCTTTCTGGATAGTTGCCATTACCCGCAGGACTTTTGCGGGGCTAAGCTACCGTTACAATGTAGTTCCTACACAGATGGAGCATAATTCATTTTTCTCCCTGTTATCCATAATCCGTTATTTTTCGTTGTGTTCCATTTAGGCCCAAGGGACCAGATTTTCCAAAAGTACCAGTAAGGTGCTGTAGCCTCTTGCATCGCCCTGTGGCGAAGGCTGCCTGCAGGCAATGCCATCCGTCCCCGCGCCGCTTTGCAGCAGCCCCTCTTTCTAACCACCACGTTAAGCATCACAGAAGTGGTGCTGGGCCTCTTGTACAGCATGAGGCCCAAATACAGGTCCAGCTTGGACCATGTACACCTTCGAGCAGCTCCTGCTGCTCCCAACACAAGGCGGGAGCTTCCTCACTGGCTGCGTGCCTCCTTCTGGCCTGTGATCCCGGGCTCTCTGTTATGCTAAATGTAGTGTGGAACAGCAGTTGGGCAGATGCTTCTCTGGCCCGTGAGGCTTTTATGCATCAGACAGCTTTCTCCCTGGGAAATGGAAAGAAAGCTTTGCGTGCTATGTTTTCTCCTGGGAGGGAAAAAAAAAAAAGAGAGAAATTGGCTTGGGCCTGAGAGAACAGGGGTCAAGTGGCAGGATTAACAGTTTTCAGAAAAAAGGAAAGGTCTGTGCAAGGGGCTGGGAGACAGCCAGTTCAGTGACAGCCAGGTCCCTCTTGAGCATCTCTCTGCACACATCGTGGAGAGAGGGGAGGCAACAGGGTGCAATGGCTTGCGTCCAAGGAACAGCAACCTGTCCCTAGCCCTAACACAGTCTTATTTAGCTGTGGTCAAATGTTAGATCTCTTCCACATGGAAAAAAAGAGCAAAAAGCCATGTGCTACTTTCAGTGAAATCGATTTTTGAAAGTCTTTTCTGAAACAAGTTGAAGTCCCTAGTGTGAGCTCACTTAAGCCAGTATTAATCCCTTTAAAAAAAAAAAAATTCTGAATTTAAGGCTTTGTAGAGAGGGTTGAAAACTTTCCATTGAAACGGTATTTTGAGCTTTTGGTGAAAAGCAGAGTATTCAAAACTGGGAGAAAAAGCCTGAATGACTGATTTAGATTTAAGGCTACTACTGTGGGGGATCAGAGGAGCTGGGCTTTGTTAGCTCCTGCACAGGGAGTGCTTGGGCTTAGTCACGAGCTGTGCAATCACGAAACAAATTCAGGAGTTTTGTCTGAAAAATTTTAATTTCCGATCAAAAGCTTTACAGGAAAACTCCTATTTTTGTAATTTTTTTCTATACTTTGTTTAAAAGAATCAATTTTAGAAGCAACTGAAAGAGGTGGGCTAAATACAGTTGCACAACTGTTTAAATCAAGATGTGATTATTTAAAGACATGAAATTGATATTTGGATCTAATGATTAATCACTCTCACTGTTAAAAATGCACCGAATTAATTCTCGTTAGTGTTATTGCCTTTGACTTCCAACTATATAATAGGATATTTCTATGTGGTTTAACCGTAGTACAAAAGCCTTATGCTTATAGCCTGGTACCAGTGCTCAGCAGACAACTTTTCCCTTCGTTCTTGAGTTCTTGTAAATTTAGGAACGCCTTTAAAATGCTTGAAATACCCCATGCCGAACGTACCGTGCCATTTTTGTGGAGGGATGAAAGGTTGTGTCCCTTGAATTAATGCTCTGGACTTCTTTTCAGAAGAACAGAAGGGTCGTGGTATTGTTCCTCAAGTCAGGAAGTGAGAACTTTTGCTTGTTTCTGTGGATACGATAAGTGCCAAAAGTCAACAAAAACTATCAGCAACCTATATA